TAACAGCCACGACGTGACGTAACCCCCTAATGAAGCAGGTCAGAGATTTTAAACAGAGCTCGCACAAAAAAACGATGCCTTAACCATACAGCGGGAAAATAATAATAATGTAAAGAAAAGACAGGAGAAGTCTCTTACCGTGCTTATGCACAAATGCTAAGCCAGATAATACCTGGAACAAAATGTTCCTTATCTCATTTTCTGAAAACATCTTATCTTCTCTGGCAGCAGCAAAGTGGGAAAGGACAAAAGAAAGAAGGGATAAAGAAGAAAGAACAACATGCAAGCTTTTATGACATTAACACCAAAAAAATAGCAAAAACTGAGCTTTTGTTTGTTTGTTTCTGCTGAATTAAGCTTTGTTACAAATCACACCTCCTCTTCTCACATCCGCACAGAAGAAGCGAGTCATTTTTGCTTGGACAAAGTCCTGTGATGGCCTACCAACAGTCCAGCATGCATCTACTTATCAGGTTTAATATCATTTCCATAATTCTTATCTTATGTATTCCAAGCCACTACTCACAGCATTTTATTTCTTATTTATTTAGTTGTGCATGAGTTGTTAGGGAGTTATTTTTATTTTACCTTTATTAAAATACCTCTGTGAAGTCACCTGCTACGTCTGTGAATAAATGACAGTCCCTGTAATATCTGAAATGTCACGTTTTTGATGACTGACTCAGGGAACGGCTTGTTTCTGTAAAAACCGAGACCGACAACACGATGACTCAAATAAAACCCAAATAATTCTCACATTCACAGCGGTGATTAAAAACACACAGAAATAGCTAGGAGGCTAACACATCACACATGCTGCGATTTTGCTTTCACAGAAATTCACAATTCTGATTTTCTTACCGTTCTTTCATGAGCTGATAGAGGTTTTCTTTCATAAACTCAAAGACAAAGTAGAGGTAGTCATTTTCTCTGATGACTTCCTTCAGTTTCACCACATTGGCATGGTTCAGCTTCTTCAGTGACTATTTGGGAAACACATGTGGGAGAGTCCTCAGCTGATTTCCAAAGAGGATTAGTGTGAATTAGACTGCAAAACTATTACAAGTGTAGTTCAAGCCGCTAAATAAGTTGTTATTTAGCTTATAGGCTCAGGTAGCATTTATATAAAGCTAGCTCATTCATGTATGCCAAGTTATACTACAATTAAAAAGGTCATGAGAACAATTTAAAGGTGACATCTAACTCTTTTAGAGAAATAAAATGAATGCTCATTTACAACTTACCTCTATTGTGGATTTTGTAAAGTGATTTTGTTTAAGCGCCTAAATTAGATTCTTACCTTCACTTCTCTTAGGTTTAAGCATTCGTCCCAGGAATAAAACTTCCTCTTCATCCTGTTGGAGTGGAATAAATCAGATTTCTATGAGAAATCAGCTTTGCTTGCTAGGAGAGCATGGAGAAATATTGATCAATCCACATGATCAACTAATGCTAAGCCCAAATAAATCCAAATCTGTTAAGACTTTGAGACAAATTCTGGATAATTTTCTCTGTTTTCTCTGTGCCTGGCTCTCAGAAAACACCTGTATCTCAACCTCAAACACCTCCATACCAGTTTAATGGTAATTCTATGCTATAGTAAACAAGTCGATGTTAAGCTCAGCATTGTGCTGTTCTCCACATCTGTCTTGGTGCTCCCCTCTTATCTCTGTTTCACCGTGTCATCGAGAGCAGCAAAACACTCTCAATGACCCAAAACCTTACAGGTATTGCCTTAAAACCCGCTGATGGCACAGACATTTGGAAACTTTAACTGAAAGATTAAACTTTAACTGAAAGGTCAGCAGCCTAAGCCTTTGCTTAGGCTGCTGCCCCCGCGACCCGGCCCCGGATAAAGCGGATGAAGATGGATGGATGGAACTGAAAGATCTTGGTGCTCCATCAGCAATCCACCCAGAAGACCAAGGTGATTAGGACAGATTTCAGGAAGAAAAGAGATGACCTGAAATCTGTGACCATAAAAGGCAAGGCT